GAGAACACCATGAGAGCAGATAAGGAATTCATGATATTCACGGAGTACCCCTGTAAACAACCCTCAGCGGTAAATGGAACACAACAACACATGGCCAAAAGCATCCAAAAGCTGCGGGTTCCAGAGTGTTGTCGCAACTACGACCATCTGCGTATGACAGTGACATGGTTTTGTTTCGTTCGGGCGTCCATCCTAAAACATGCTCACTTTTCACCTCTTTGTCCAACAAGAAAATTGGTGTCATACACCGAAGCACAGCCGCACAGCCTCGATATGATGACAATGATGCCTCGGCTCTTGCACCTTTCCTTTGCCTACTTGTTATTAGTGAACATCAACAGTGTATGCAAGAAAGCTTTAAGCCAAGCAGAAGCACTGTGCATCGTCCAATGGGCTTTCACTTGCCATGGATCTACACAGCCGCCATAGGTAGGATCTACACAGCCGCGAGAGACATGTGCGTTTCCACGAGCGCGTTTCCCTTTCAAATGCGTAGCAAATGACCACACCATCACACCCAAGAACATGGGGCATTATCCCTTGGAATTCCAGCAACAATCGCATGGCATGGTTTGCTACACGTGATTGCTGGCTTTACCCGCCCCTCCGCTCCAGTGGCAGCGGACGGAAATCTCGGATTGGACGAGTCCGCATTGGTTGATGGTTGATGTGAGGTGGACCATGGTGGACCCAATGAAACACCATAGGATAAGCCATGATAAGCCTATTGTTGGTCAAGTCAACACAGCTTAAATCCAAAACCAACTGGATGTTTTGTTGTTTAGAAGTTTGGGAATGGTCTTGCCGGCCACCAGATGCAAACAATTACCTGGAACAACTACAAAGTTTCTGAATGAATGCAAAACCCATGTCGCTATTAGTTTTCTTTAGCATCGACGTATCTCGAGCATCTCAGTCATTTCGAGCATCTCAGTCCATCGTGGACAGAATTAGCTGGCCAGGTGTGCTGACGGTGGCCGGAAAGGTGGGGCAGAGCCGCGAGAGCTCGAGTTTTCGAGGGGTTCGCCGTCAGGGTTCACCTTACGTAAGGGAGGGCACACCACCTTGTTACGAAAACCAGCCTTCGTAGAAGGCGCCAGCTGAGTTGTGTTTGGCGAACGAAGTGAGTAAGTAGGGGGTCTGGGGGGGGTGGCCCGAGAAAGCACTACGTAAACTCGAACTTAGGTGGTGTTTAGGGGTGCACGGAAGCAAGGTTTTGGAGGTTGTGTTGGAGGTGATTCTTTGTGATTTTTGGAGGGGTGGTGACGCAAGAAATGCAATTTGCATCACTTGCATCATCTGGATGGTAAGGTGTAGTTTTACAGAGGCCGATGGTAACGCTGGCTTTCGTTTTGCAGCTTGTCAGGTTTTGCTGTTTTGCTGATCCTGAGATGATATCTTGAGACGATGTCTTGAGATTGGCCTGACTTGCATAGGATTTTCAGGGCAACGAGGGTCATGGCGTACCTGGTGTACTTATACAAGCAATGATCGGATGGAAAGCATCCTTTCGACACTTTCGACACGTGCAGTCAATGAGCACAGGACAAGGTGCCGAATGAGCTTCTCAACCGACCTCAACAGGTAGTTGGTAAAGGGAGCCATGTCATGCCATGTCCATGGCAAGCAGCTGTTGCCGTCATCCAAACATTGGGTGTGCTTGGGAGGTAAGCAAAGGCTGCATGCAACACCTTTGACAGACCATAGCAAACCTGGAGACTAGGCGGCCGCCCTAGAGCCATTTTCGTGGTAATTGATACCAATTTCTACTTGCATTGGTTGATGGCGCCTTTTTCATGACCCATTCACATTCTACCGGGGGACCGACCGATTCCAGCGAATGGCCCGTTCTCCGGGCGGCTCAGTCCGTAAACGAACGGCACCGGAAGCACCGGCAAGGCAGGCGATGCCTTGGGCCCTGTGATGGTCAGCGAATGGCCCTTGTGGCTTTTGGTCTTAAACGCCCCTTGGCCTGGCGGTGTTACGAGACACGGAAGTTCTTGCCTGCAGACATGATGATTGTGATGGTGAAACCATGTGGAACCACTTTTCTTCCAGACACATGGTGGAACAGGCTCTCCAAGTTTCACTTCCAGGTTCATGTCATGTTTGTTGGAGTGGTGGCACCTGTTGGATTGGTGAACATGTTTCTGGGCCAAAAGGTTCATAGAAACCAAAGAGGCTCAGTATGCATAATTTGCCGGTTTGCGGGAGGTCAATGGATATTGGCCTGTAAATTTAATATTTACATATGGACGGTGTACCTACAAAGCGCCTGAAAGATTTCTAAAAACAGATTCGTTTGATTGTTTTGGGTTGGTTTGTGTTTGCGGAGTCCAAGATGGTCCAAGGGTGCACAAAAGCCTGTTGTTGCCTTGCACAGGCATCTCTGAGTTTGTTTGTTTTCCAACCCTTGCGGCACAGTCGAATGACCTACATCTGGGTTTGACCTCTTTGAGCACCCACTGGCTGCGACTTGGCTGAAGACCGGGGTGAGGCCTGGGGGTCGGACCTGGTTCGGGCGAAGGTTTGGGGAAACTGTTCCGCCTGGGTGGTGGCGCAGGGCTGAAGCGCTCGCTCCAACGTACAGGTTCCTTAAGGGAGAAACTAGATGAAGTGTTGTCTCTTTGAGGTTTAATTTGAGATCACAGTACAATTGTAGATGATCGGACATAGGATTATGTATATACGCGTTGGTGATTGGTTGCTCCATCTTTGGTAGTATCTTTGGTATTCTTTGGTTGGAATCAAGAGCATAGATGGAGAGAGAGAGAGAGAGAGAGCAAGGCTTCGGGATGTCCACTTTAACTTGCGTTACGCAACTACCATGGGCTCAATACTATTCAAAGCATGTGTCGTGTCGACACTGGCCAGTGAAGAGTTCCTCCATGGGTTCCTCCATGTTCCTCCCCTACCTAAGGAGGATAAGGAGGGAAGCTTTCTCTCAAATGGAACGACACAGGTGCCGGCCGCGGCCGTGCCCGAAACCGCCCGAGGCCTTGGTATGTCATTGGCACGTCGGGGGAACCAAGAACTCGATCTGAGCTTGGAACTCGATCTGACCATGGAGGGCCACGTCGTAGGGGTCGTAGGGATCTTGGAATGGACTCTGGTATTCAGTATTCGTCCTTCCTTGGCAAATGGGACGTCGAAGCATCAGTACTTTCTGGCCATCCTGAGGTCAAATAACACATGTTGTTCGGGTTTGTCTTCATATGTTCGTATAGATCGTATAGATACTGTACTCATTTTTATATGTCGGATAATTCATGCTTTGTTTCCGATGTTCGACGATCAGTGGCATCATATGTTTTTTGGCAGGTGTTTCCTATTTCCTTCATATTCCTGAAAGCCAGTAGTATTGGGTTTTACTCTGATTCCCATTGTTTCGTATATGTGTGTTTCCAGTTAGAGTATGTCAGAATGACGTCAAGAAAGCAGCAAGCTGGACTTGAGGAGTTTGTTTGTCTCAATCATAGAGGTTTTGGAGCTTCCCTAAGCTCCGTTGAGGTGAACCGGAAGCAGCGGCCAATAGCATCATAGTAGACCCTTCTGTTGGATACTGGCCGCTTCGGGTACGAACCTCTTCCCCACAGAGGTTCCACAACCTTATAAATGCCATATATAATTGTATATTTCTGTTAAAAGGACACATGTTTGACATGTAACTCATATCAATTGATCATCATGCTTTGATCATGATGAAGAACAACATCTGTCACTTCCAAAGAGGACAAATTTACTGGAGCACCCTGGAGCAGCTTCCCTGCCCCAAACACAAACCCCTCCGGGCTCCGAGGCTTCGACGTTTGGCGGAGGACCCCGTGTTCTTCCTCATCGGCTGGCACTACTCGGACCGGGCAGAGCGGGGCTGGGCCAGGTAACTCATGTGACACGTGTGACCGTATGTAACTATATAACCCTGCTGGTTTGTTTTCAAATTGGTTGCTGTATTATGTTGCTATGTGAGTGGGTAATGGTCATGGTAGCCATGTAGCAGGGGAGGTTGGCTGCCTCACTTTCCCCCGACTTTGCGTCGCGTGCGCTCTTTGGGAGACATGCTCATGGGGTAAACAGCCCCACCCCCGGATTTCCAGAAGTGAGCTTGGGCTCTGGGGTTGGTTTTTAAGAGCGATGAAGACGTTTCAAAATGAAGGAACCACTGACCACTCAACCCGTCTTATCATAGAACTAGAAAGTCTAAACAAAACTCAAGACTTTCCACAACCTGCTGGAATCCTTGGAGACCTGGGGTCAAAAGCAGTCAGTCAACTCCGAACTGAAAGCGATTCGGGACAGTAGATAGACCCCCTGCACATGTCTTTATGCACCAACATACACCACCGCCACGACCACGACCACGACCACCACCACCACGACGACCACCACCACCACCACCACCACCACCACCGATGCACATTTGTTGTAATAGATTTTCTGACGGTGGCTTCACGTTGGAAACGACAAATCCGGCCACTACCCAGTTCTTGAAACTGGAGGTTGGCTGTACAGGTGAGTTGAAGTGGTTTCATTTTAGAGCTTTGCGTCTCTGGGTTACATTCTGCTTCTGGCATCTTCTGGCCTATAATCCCCACATCAGCCTCAGTGGGCATTCAACATGACAAGAGGATGTTCATGATCCTCGGCATGGTCTGCCTTCAGGACTCATTGTCATGACCTGTTGCATCCTGTTGCCATAGTGCCCAAGCAGTATCAACATGCTGGCGAAGAGAATTCCGTAGTTTTGCAGGATCATTTGTCGAATGTAGCAGGCCAACCTACACCTCTCCAACTTTCATCCAAATGCTACACACTTTTTTTAAAGACAAATTAAAGTGAAGCATCCAATTTGACCCGTAAACCTGCTGACTTCCCTCACCCAAACTGGAAGCCAGACACCAAACCGCAGAGCTCACCTGGCACCAACTGTACCACCTGGCACCGTACATGGCCCAACGAGGCGGACAGTGCGCGGTCCGCGGGGGGTGGAACCCGTAGTCCCGTTCCGACGCGGGGGAACCCACGTGGGATGAAAACGACCTGAAAGCGACACAAAAAACATCAAAAAACGTTCCAGTAGAAACGTGTTGCTTCCTTGGATTTGCAGGATGTTCAGGCTTCTTGACTTCCGTTTTGCATTAGGCTTGCTGAGATTGTCGTTTGCAGTGGGTGAACCCGGGTGAACCTCTTAAATCTTTTGCTATGATGAAGAGAACCAGGGCCGAAATGGTTCTGCTTCCGTTCGAATCGGGTGAACATTTAGAAGACCTTCCAACACCTTCAAATCCGACCATCACACCCTGAGACGCGACAAGGGCGAGCGACAGTGTCCCCTGCCTTGGAGCCATTCTGGATCGATGTCATCGAAGTGTTACAGACGCCGGGCCGCTGTGTTTCTGTGTCTGGCTCTCTTCAGCTTTGCCAACCAACAAACCAGAGAAGACGCCCTTGCGGTCGGAACGGCCGTCGCTGCCGTCCCTTTGTGTGCGATGCCGCCCGTTTCGGCGGTGGGAGGGCTCAACGCCTTCGGCCTTGGACTGTTCAAACTCCTGTCCAAAAAAGATGCAGAGAATCTGGGCAATTGTTTAGGTTTAGATCAAGGAAGGCGGCTGAAGGCGGCTGAACAAATATGCGAAGGATCGAAGACTCCCACACATGTCCTCACTGACTCTCCACCTTGTCATTTCGGATGTCCTGGGTTGTTCAGAGGTCGAACCCTTGCTTCACACGGATACAGTTGCTAGTGCAGAAGAATATTTTTGCAGCCATCATGCATCTATAGATGCCAGGCAAAAGAGATGCTTCAATGCATCCCTAAAGAATTCAGCAGCTGACTGATTTCGATGCTGGTGTGGGGTCAAGATACAATCTCTAATTGCAACATATGCTGCAAATTCGCTGTTGAATGCTATTGAGATGTTTTTTACTCAAAGATAGAGTACGGAAACCGGCAGCCACTTCGACTCGCCGGGTCATGTTTGTCTTGGATGGTGGGTGGCCTCGCAGATTTGAGCGGCCTAGGAATGTGCTCATCTCGCCCATGTCCTTGTCAGTGTGTTTGTCAATGGTGGCCGCTGGATCAACGCCAGACTCCACCACTGAAAAGGAGCAACTCAGACGTAATGTGCGGGTTGACTAACATCGTCAAAGTGCTCGTTTTCTTCCACTTTGTGTTTGTACACAATTTTGTAGGTAGCTGCGCATAGCAACCGATGCCAATACAATCTATTCAGCTGCCTGTTGAGTCGATTCGGCTGCTTTCATGTCAGGGTGGCCTGTGGGTGACCCATGGTTTCTTTCTTGGTCGAAGTGTCGTCGATGAGGCTTAGGGAGCCACGCAAGTTGCTTTAGTCTCGGAGATATCTTACTCTATTGTACTTGTCTATGATTCAAGTCATATCATATCCATGTTCTCTGTACAGTTTTGGTGTCCCAAGGTTCCGAGCTTTGATACCACCATGTTCGCTCCTCTTTCGGAGCCGGCGATGGCAGGAGTTCTTGTCGGTGCTGGGTGGCCACATGGCGTCCCTGCCGAAGACCTCGGCCCAGATGGCCAACTCTGCCTGGGTGCGCTCAGCCATCAAACCCGAGTACATCGAGGCCATGGGCGGAGGGAGGGTCGAAACTCCTTGGTGTATGTGGATGTATTTTGATATGATGCTATGGGAAAACTAAAGCAAAGCTGCAGCTATATATATTTATAACGAGGCACTGGAACTCACCATCAAAAGTTATATAACATCCAATGTTCGGATAACAGGTCATTCAGACAATCCTTGAGTGTCGTTGCGCTTTCCACAACTGCGATGATCAAGTTTTTTACACATTCCGAGTGTTACTGTACCTCGACTAGTGATTGTATGTTATTGTTCCTCCAGATCATGCCAGATCTCAGAAGGCAAAACAACAACTGATGACCGTCATGACCTCTCTCCAAATCATTTCTCTCTGTCAATTGCCCAGGCAATCAAGAAGGACTTTGAAGCTGAGGCTTTGCCTTTAACGGATCCGGATCCAGCACCTATCAACAAATGGGTGAGTGGCTTGGCACGCTTTTTTTGGGGGGTTCCCCGGCCCTGGCGGTCGACGGGGTCAGGTCGACTCGTGACGGTCGCTGAAACATCGGCCTATTGGCCCATGGGCCAAGCCGCGAACCAGTTCGGTACCATTTTTATTTCGCGACCGCAACTTGGCGTGGTGGTCTCGGGTACGGTAAGAGGGCCTTGATGGTTTAGGGGGACTGACTCCGGCGGCCAAAGTATGGTGTTTCTGTTTTTGCCACGGGACATTTGGTTGTGAAGACTCACATGATCTAGGTGCGGATGACAATCACGTAACTAGACTGAAACATCCGCCGGCTGGTTGCTTGCTTCCAATACTACTGGCCTGCCCACTTCGCATGTGATGACCTCTCTCAAGTCATCTCAAGCCTTCATGCAGCTACAATGCTCCACATGTGTCTTGAGATGTGTGATTTGTTCAACCCCCCCGAACAGATGACCATTTTCAGATCCCTTCTTCACGGAGCCTGACCACAGCACCCCACAGAGACGCCTGCCGTCGAAGCGTCGACAGAGGTGAGAGGACTTCGGGTCTCATTCCGGAGCTCTTCTCGGGGCCCTTGGACCCCCTGACGGTGCTGGTGCTGGTGAATACCATCTTCTTCAAAGGTGCCCCAAGCTGGGTGGGTTTCTTGAAGTTCGGGAAGTCACTTGTGTACAGAGTGTACTAAGACTACGATGTTAACTAAATGGAATTATATCATATTATAGCTCACGAGCAGTTTGGGGTGTATCCTGAATAGGATCGGATAAAGTAAAGTAAAAAGGACAAGATGGTAGGTGAGAGCATCCTAGGTAGATTATGCTGGCTGGATTTTCAGATTGCGGTATATTGCGGTAACCTTTGTTTTGCATATTGTCCAGTGTGATTCTGAAGAGACAATGGTCCCCACGATGATTTTCGTGCCGAACGCACGATGCGACAGTCGCCAGGATCTTGGGCGACGGTCTTTGACTCGGCCAAGTGGCATGGCTCCAAAGACCCCCGGATTCGGCACGAAGCTTCTGGAAGATCCCGATTCGAAGCGGTTTTCTGAAGCGGTTTGTTTCTTTGGAGGTGGAGAGGTGTCAAGGGGTGGTGGGGGGGAATTTGATCCACATCCCGCATCCCATGTGGATCATGTGGTTGTCGGTTGATCGCCCAGGTTTGGTGTGAGGCCTTCTAGTTCAATCGACAGTCTGAGACACTGGCTTTTCCAGTCACGCCTCCCAAGGGTGTGGCATCACTTGCTGGCGTGTGTGTCGGGCCACGGTCACCAGGAACCGCCGTCCGTCCTCTTGAGAATGAGCAAGCTTCACTACACGTGGCAAGAAACAGAAGAAGGATGAAGAAGGGTTGATTATGGTTGATTGGACAATTCCTTTCCCCATACAAACAAAACCTTGTTCAGTTCCATGCGCTTCCATGGTTATGGGCTATATTAGCTGTTCCAAGCATTTTTCAACCACCATCAAACGCCCTTTTCCTTGGGTTCCCATTCCAACGCGCGAACGGGCCCAGCACCAAAAGCGGCGAATTCCGTGGCTTTGCGTCGAAGATGCCCTGCGCGGCTTGGAGTGATGGTGTCGATGGCGTCGTGTTTGTGTGGGGTGCGAGGTGTGCAAGGACTATGCGCTACCTGAGTTCTGCTTGCTCTTGCAAGCACATGCAAACATAATTTTACCACTTGTTTTACCTTTGTATAGGTTTTATTTCTCTTTCAGAGCAGGATTGATCATGGGTTCTTCTGCAGGGGTGCGGAACAGGAACCGAGGCCATGCTTCAATGTTTGAAAACATTTGAACACTACGATGAATTTGACCAATGTAACTAAGAAGTAAGTGATCGGCTTACGGTTTCTTGAACACTTGGTTGTAAGGGGACCAAGAGTCATCCAACCCGTCAAAACCCTGCGCCCAAAGCGTTTGCTTGGAAGGCTTGTCAGAACAACGATGTGTAAAAACGAAACAAAGGAAGGCTCAAGGGGCTAGGGTTAGGATATGTTTCTGATATTGTAGTACTCTGACACCTGGCGTATTACGCATGCTGAGATAAATTCAGCAAGATTGTGTTCTACAAGGAACAATGGATGCATCAATGAGTATCCAAAGCAGAGATCAAAATAAACTTTGTGTGCTGTGCACCGCACTGACTGTTTGTGGAGGTCATTTGGTTCAATGATTTATGCCGTGTAGCAGCCGTGTAGCAAACAGAAACATCCAGATAACCCTGCCACCAGTCTAGCTAGCAGGAAAGGTCTTCGCTCCATGCTGCAATATTTTTACCAGGACATGATGTGGAAGAAAGAAAAGAAGCTTGGCTATACTGACATGCCTGGCTATCAAGCAGTGCAACTGCCCTACAGCGACAAGTCCACCTTTGCCACAGTGATCCTTCCAAAGGACAGCAACGAACTCATCCAACGCACAGCACTGAACAATGGTGTCTTATGGTATCTCCCAAATAAGTACCGTTTGAAAGAAAATATAATCTATCAGTCTCGCGACGGCCCCGGTGTTGGGTGTTCAGAGTGTACAATCCGCAGTGTCTGAAAGCACAAAGGTCACAGGGAGATACCGGGTTCCGGTATCTACTTTCGCCTTCCAGGTAACCAGTTAGAAATCCCTAAGATGGGTACTGGCACGTCAGGGGTTTGTTTCCCTCGCAGGAGGAAGGGCCTGCAGGTCTTGAAAAGTTGGTGGAGGACTTTGATTGGAAACAGTGAACTGGAGTGCAGTGGAGAACGGGTGGAGGACCGAGGTTGTGGGGCTGTGTGGGGAATGAGGGGGATGGGAATGACCGAATTGGTCGGATTCAGGACCTGTGCAAATCATGTTCTATGTTCAGTTTGTTCACTCAAGTGATGGGACATCAACGTTAGTTTGCAGTGACATTGGCGTTGAGGATGTTTTCTCTGTTGCGAAATACATTGAAAGAAGCCGGGGCAGCGACATTTTTTAACGGATCATTGCTCTTCACTGTTGCACGTAGCTACATGCCGGTCAGCTCATAAATACTGGCCAACCAGTGGCCGGCGAGTTTGCAACGGCCAGTATGTTCGCAAGCAACAGTGTGGGTCTAGAGTCTAAAACCTGTAGTGGTCCAATCCATCTCTTCATGCGGAAGACCATCTATCATAATGAATCTTGGAACAATAAGCTACTAGGAACAAGTGCCACGCTACTAGTAACAGGTGCCTTACTAGTAGTAACAAGAAGCTAGTAGAAAC